GACAAGATCATCTCGGACTGAGGCCCCCAATTCACCTCGAAGCTAGCAAAAGAGCTAGGACGACTCCTCAACTACCAAGTCGCACTTTCCACTGCCTACCACCCTCAGACAGATGGCCAGACTGAACGGCTCAACCAAGAGCTTGAAACCTACCTCTGGATCTACTGCCGGACGACTCCCTCCAAATGGGCAAAGCACTTGCCTATGGCTGAATTTGTTCATAACTCCCAACGACACTCCGCCAGAAATGCCTCTCCCTTCTACCTCATGATGGGCTACGAACCACGAGGCATCCCCCATCTCTTCCCCGACTCTACCCTACCAACCACCAAAGACCGAGTCAAGTCACTCGCCAAGATCCATGAAGAAGCCCTTGCATGCCACAGCCTCGCGCAGCAATGCATGGCTGATCGTTCCTATGGCCAGCGTTACAAGCCATGGAACGTTGGTGATAAGGTATGGCTATCCGCCACGAACCTAATCACCGGATTCCCTTCTAGGAAACTCGCCCTGAAATGATATGGACCCTTCCCAATCCAGAAGGTCCTCTCCCCCATCATGTTCCAGCTAAAGCTGCCTGCCAGCTGGTGTATCCACCCCACATTCCATGCCTCAAAACTTTCCTCCTATCAGGAGACAGACGTGCATGGACCGAATTTCACCGAACCTCCTCCTGATCTTATCGATGGAGAGGAACACTACGAAGTAGAAGCTATCCTCCAACACAAGGGTACCGGATCGCGTCGCCGGTACCTCGTGTCTTGGGTTGGCTATCCTGCCTCCGAACGAACGTGGCTCCCCGAAACAGAATTAAAGTCCGCAGCGGAGCTCCTGAAGGCGTATAAGAAGCGACTCAAGATCGCTTCAATCGCCATCTCATGTTGATCAACAAACACCACTGCAACTTCGCCTACCGCCCTCACTACACGAGGGCTGACCCCACCGACGAACCCATTCACACCAACACCAAAACCTTCCATCACCAACAAATCTGCAATCGCCACCGCCCCATGAAACCCAAACCCTTCGACAAACAGAGACCCATTACCCAATACCCCACCTACGCCACTACCCAAGGAAAGATGCTTCGTTATGCCGGCTTCAGCGTCGTCTGTTTCCTCGCACCGATCCGCTACCTCTCATGCGTCTGCCTCCGACCACGACCTGACGAGCCAGCCAACGCCTGGCCATGATGGGCCCTCCCCCCTGGGATATACCGTCTTCCGACAACCATCCCTTCGCTCAGTTGTCCAAGATAGGCAACGGGTTTACTGGGAAGCAGTCATCTGCGATCCCCAGTATGCACTTCGACTCGACAACTATCTCAACCGCACCAACGACGACATTACCATGAACCTTGTCCAGGCCTTCAGGGCCACCGACGCCCTCACCGGCGATATCGCCAGGATTGACTTGGCTAGGGAAACTTCCCTATCCACCGTCTCGACCAGATATTACCAAGGCAAGATCAAGTGAGCCTTGCTAAATCTGTTTGAGCTCAGGAACTTCCATGCCGCTGTCATGGCCGTCGAGGAGGAGCAGGCATTTAATCCCCCTCCCGACCCGCTTGCAGTCATCGAGCGTGCTGTCTATGACAGAGCTCTGACCCCCTTCCTTCCCCAACTACCCCGCTCCGAATCACCAGAGCACATCCCCAATGTCACCCAGTTGACCAACCCTGAGATCGACTGTCTCTACGAGGAATACGAACGCGAGCTCTATGCTCCACGTAACCCTTCTCCCACCCTTGATGTCAACACCATCTCTATCACCATCCCAGAGTTGGATGAGTGCCCCCCTGATCCACCTGTTCTCAACCCTGACAATTGGGTACCCACCGAGGTGGTCCCACACCTCTCTCTTAGTTCTCCGGAACCTCTTCCCACTCCGCAATGCTGAAATCGCCATGCTCGTGCACAATCCATCCTGTCCCTGGGACTACCCCTCTCCCATGTGCATCGCCCGCGCACTCAGAACTTCACTAGGCACTATCCTCGTGAGGAAGCCAAGGAAGACGCCATCAACGACGCACATTGTGATGCCACCGAGACCACCCAGGTCTACCGCAGCAACGTTGTCTGCTGCCAGTGCTGTGTCTTTGGACACAAACAGAAACACTGCGCGCAATACTTCTGCCGCATTTGTGGGCAATTTGCCCCAAGACATCTCACTCCCTTCTGCCCTCGACTCGATGGCAGAAAGATCCTTTGCCGTGGAACCTCTTCTGACCGGTTCTACAGGGACATGCGCCAGCTCGAAGCCGCGTATGACCAGGACGCTGCTCGCCTCAAGCAAGAACGCGAAGAGAACGCAATCGAAGCCGCCTCCTGGCTCGAAGACCTCGACTTCGACCCCGAGTGGTATAACAACCAGGACAACTACGTTCCCCTGGATGACGATTAAGAGTTCATGGAACTCTACCTTGAAACGGGGGTAATGTTACAAGTAACATCGGCTACATGGCCCCCCTATCATTTTTCCCTTCGTCCTCACCCTCATATGCCTCCGGCTCGTACTTCTCTACCGACTATCCATTGACCGGATCCTCGGGACCGTTCCCGTCCCTCATCCCCCTCCTATCGCACCAATGTGCGCACGTGCCTTCAGGCTATGACTTGTTCTGACTCGTGCCACCAATGTGGCTTTCCTTATCTTGTCTTATCTTTCCTCTGACTCATGCGTGCTGCGCATTGTATCATTTACCGTTGGCTCGTTCCAACGTTTCTCGGTCTCATTCCGCATTCAACCTCACATCACTAATCAGGCTCTGCTACCAGCGTACCTATACCCTTTCCGTTTCCCCTTTGCCCTTACCTACAGTACGGTAGCCTTGCCCTTAACCCTTTCCACTTAGTATAAGTAGTCGGTCACTCTGTACTAGATTCCCTAATTTGAATCTACTCAATCTTCCCTCGAACATACTTCCCTCTGAAGCCTGCTCAGCTTCAGTCTCTAGTATCTTTTCTTAGGTGCTCATCGCGCCTAAGTCTACCTTGATCGACTACTCTTCATTCAGACAAGACTGTCCTTACTTTGAGAATGTCAGTGACTTTGAAGACATCCGTCTTAGAAGTCACGTGACACGCGCGTCTCTGTTATCTGCCGACTCGTCATTGCCAGTCTCAGTCGCTACACCGGACCCTTCCGGTTACGTCACGAATGTTAGCGGACAACGCCCCTCTTAGGGCTCCGCATAACAGATCTATTTGAGTGCGTAACACTATTGGCCTTAGAGCTAGCTACTATAAAATTTCACAGCTTGCGAAAATTTGTCTAAGAACGTTCAATCTATCTAAGTCTATATGGGAGGGTTTCCTGATGACGCCGCCTTCTTCTCTGTCAGATGATTGGTGTGGTGGTTCTCCTGTAAAACAAGGGATGTCTGACCTAGAATCACGAGCATTGCGGCTGCTTGTTCACCTTGCGCAGCCTTTCAGCGCATTTTTGCTGGTGCAACAGCGCAGTGGAGAATACAAGAGGATTGCGACGGATTATGATATTGTCGGACAAGTCCAGGATGTGGTTTCTGTTGGAGACTCGATGGACATCAGGACCATAGAGATATTGTAGTCGTATGTTTTTTGTTTCAAAGTTTTTGGACTACTTTAAAGATGATACCATACAGCTACGGCATACGTATCACACACGCATGTTAGATGTAGTTTTGGCACTTAGGTAGCAGCTCGGGTACAAATTATGCTCCAAGTCCCGTCACCTTCCTTAACATTCTTGCAACCCTTTGTCCTCGAATAACTGCATTTCTGATTGCTTTGGTGTAGGAGAACCGCCGATCGGTCGTTTTGACGCGCGATTCGTCGAAAATAATATACACTTTGAGACACGTGCATGTAGCTATCAGTGTATAATGCGTACTGTGCCAAATTTGCAGGCTAGTACAGGTATCAAGGTGAATGTAGTAAATGGTGAACAGGTTCCTTCATCTGGATTGCAACTAGGCTCGTGACCAGCCTGGCTTATTACCACTAGCAGGAACCTGCAATGGATGCCTTTCACGTAACTAATCTATGACACATTTACCCTCAACCCATTTCTGTCCTTGTCCTGCCACCTCTCTCACATCAGCAAAAACCCCCTTTTAATATTGGCAAAAATTGGATCATATTTTGTAAAACGTAGAAAATCATGTACCGTTTTCCCGAATGTGCATCAATCCAATCCAATATTCAGCAAATTTGACTAATGTGTTAACAGGGCCACAGAATTCGTGCAAGTGAGGGAAAATTGTTTGGTACATTGGGAGTACTAGTACTTGTTTTCTCGGATGTGATCTTATTATACTAATTTATGTATGCCGTGAGCAGCATGCTGGACTTCCAACAGATGAGCCTTTCTTGCCTCCTCACACCGCTTGATTTCAGCATCCCAATGATCTGCCACAAGTCTACACATGTAATTTTGAGAGACAGTTAAAGGGGCCAGAGTTTGACGGTATGGTGGAACAGGAGTTTCAGGTATTTCTGTCACAGGGGTAGCGCTAATCACAAATTCTGGCAATGGAAATCTGCGGATCAATGGTTTTTTAATCCTTGTCACTTGGTAAGAATCTGCTGACATGATGATATGATCAACGACTTACTTTTTGATGGGTGACTGGTGCCTTATGTTTGCCAAAGTCCAGGCCTGGGGAAGGTGAGCGCGGGCTACAAGTCCACTGGCAGTGAGAATGAATGATCTTACCCTCAGAATCAACCAACCGTTTCCTGGGACTTATATTCTCTTTCTCCGCAATCCAGTCCTGCAAGTTGGTCAGTTAGAGTATCTGTAGCTTAGAAGTGGAACCTGTGCACCATAAATATATCCAACAAGACACTTGATACACGTAAAACACGAGCAGATGTTAGTCAAAGAGATTGAATCGACATGGAGAAAAAATTTGCGCACCAAGACCGAACCGTGAGAAACCATCTGTCAATGCCTAGAGACCCAATATCAGTCATCGGCCGGGCCATTGAAGTGTGTACAACAAGCCTTTTATTTAACTAGAATACAGTTACATATGCATCTCGGTCAGTGAAGTTGTTTACAAAAAAAGTGCTACACCGGTCTAATATGTTGCTCGTAGTCCATTCACATGGAGCTACTGTCCTGAACTTGGGTATTAAGTGAATGGACCGTCGAACATTGCAAATAGGGACAATGCTGGATTGCCTGTCACCATCATAAAGTGTGCGTGAAACCTTATACATTCCATGGTTAATGTCTGGTGCAGTGAACGGCGTGAACCATTCGACGTAAGCAAGGTGGTCAGGCACATTGACATTGCCAAACAGTGCATGTTTGACATTGGCCGACAGTGAGAAGACCACGTGAACTTGCGCAACACGATATCCTGCAAGTCATTCGTCAGCCGAAGTGTCCCTGCATACACACATCAAGACACTCACCTTCAACACCCATTTTTCTGCCATTGCCCAGATTTACAAGTGCAGTATCAAACCTCGCTGGAACTTTCCTGTTGTGGCAGTCACGTCGGGCAGGTCTCGCATGGATTGCATCAACAGTGACATTGTTTAGCATGCCATCATCACCCACAGTACTATAGCGGACCTTGTGGAATACCGCAACTGACTGGAATGGTAGATTGACATGGCAGGCAGCCTCTTCAGACTGCCTCACAGTCAAATCAGGCTGTGTCACTTGCACGACGAAACGAGCCACAGCAGCTTGAAAATGTACAGCACCATACTGCTCAGCTAGGGACGCAAACGTCACCCGTTTAACAGATGGGTTTTTTGTTAGCTTCGATTGTCGCAGATATACAAGGTCGGAGTGGGGTAGGGGATGACGCGATTGAGGGACATGAGCTGGGGCAGCACCATTGTGTAGACGCCATTGAATAAATTTATCGTGCCACAGCATCTTCTCTCGTCGCTCGAGCCAGAGGGTCATTTGCATGTATTCGTCCTTGTGATTTGTCGCGCGGTATGCATCCTTCGCTAGATCAATGTGAAGTTGTTCTGTATATTCAGTGTTATAATTGTCAGTGGTTCCGAACATTCGAATCATCGTAACGTAGTGTCGGAAAGAATGGAGCTTTGGGAGGTTGAATGATGATCGGATACCTAGATCCACGAAGATAGACTTGTTGTCATGAAATCGGTTGAGTGCACCACTCAGATGCTCTAATGTCAGATCCGAATGACATGGGTACTGCGCGAGATATAAGAAGTCGAGGAGGCCTCGAACTGTGCGAATCAGTCTAACAGGGGATGCCCCATCAGGCAAATGGATGTCGATGATTAGGCCCAGAAGAAAGCGGCATATTTGCTGGTGCTCCGTACCGCTTACTCGCGACAAAACTGATATACCTTTCATAAATAGGCGGATATTGTGATTCGGAGGCAAACGTTTGCACCGCGCTGTAGAAACAACAATACTGAGAGGAACAAAAGATGCTCCTAACTGTATCTAAAAATGTTGTAGGTCGAGTGTTGCCTAGTCTGCGTTACCTGAGGAGACAAGTGCGTTCGACCCTAAAGGGGAAGCGAGTGCAGCCAAGATCTAGAGGTACGCGCTTCAGCGAAGTGCGAGAAAGCGCAGGTGCGCGCAAGGCGCGGGAACACGCGCGCGTATTAGCGCGAAGCGCGGGAAAGCGCGCGCACGTATGCGGAAATGATAAAGACTAGACTCAAGTGATAATATAATGCAAGAAAAGAGAAGGGAGATGTGAAGTATAGACAAATAGACTTCTACTATATTCTGCTAAGTAGTAAGTAAGTGATAACTAGTAATTGGGAGGTAAAAGTCAGGTTCTAGTGTAGTATGTACTGCTGGCGCTTATATAGCGTGCCTAAGCGCGGTCATGCGGAGCCGAAGCGCTACCGAGTAGGTATGTAAAAATATATATGAGTGAGAAACTATGATAAAAATAAAGGTGGAACTATGCTAATAAAGGAAATGGAAATATATGTACTAGGGAGCTTGGTGGACAGTGGATGGATGCATCTGAATGGCTGGTGCTATAGGGTGCGGGAACGCGCGCGCGCGCGCGCATACATCGTGAAGCACGGGAATGGTGCGCGCATGGCGCACGTTGCGCGGGAAAGCTGCGCCTCATATAGAGATAGTTGCGGGTAGCGCACAGAGTGACACTACAAGTTCGTGCTATGTACTTCCTAGTGTAAAGCGCCATATCAGACCATGAGACGCACGAGTCTCTACATCTCCCAGGGACTTTAAATTCTGAGTGTCCCCACTCAGCGCGTGTGTGGTGAGGATTTTGCGTGAGGGTATGCAAGTGCGATGCTTGTACGATGCTTTGGTTGTTGGGCGATGAATGTGCGAGCATAGGAATGGTATGTGTGAAGCGCGGGAAGTTGCGCGCATGGCGCGCGCGAGGCGCGAGAATGTGCGCGTGCTAGGCATGAAGGCGCGGGAATGAAGCATAGCATGGTGGATTGCAAGGGTGACTCTGATGTGAATAGTGTTCCCTGGGTGTGAGGCGATGATGCAAGAGTGATATGGATGTGGCGCGCAAGGTGTGGGCGAGATGTGCGCATATGGCGTAAAGCGCGAGAAAGTACGCGCGCGCAAGGCGCGAGAAAGCGCGTGAGTGTTGCATGTGTTGTATTCTGTGGGGACACCATGAGCTGTTGCGCAATGCTCTTGGAGTCCAGTATGCGTGTGTGCGTGTGATGCGAAGTGGCGTGGTCCAAGAGCAATCCAATCCATGTCCAAACCAAGTCCTGCTAGGCGCGCTAAATATTAGATGCTAAAGAGTTTCAACAGTGTGAGTAAAACTATATGTGAAAATGCGAATGAAAAACAGTAACTTGCAGATGTCCTATCTGACTTGTCTTCTTCGTACAGCTGTCAACATCTATACCTTCTTATAAATGAAGCGCAGGAAGCGCGCACGCGCGAGGCGCATGTGCGCGCAAAGTGCGTGAACATGTGCATGTGCGCATGAGGCATATGGGCGCGGGAATATTGCGCGCATATGTGCGCGTTCTAAGGTAAAAAGGAGCATGGTGCCGCGTCATGCATGCGAAGAGAAAATATACTATTGAGCTAGGCGGGCACAATCTAAGGTTGTTGTGTTGTTGTTTTTCTTCTATGTTCTTCTAGGCGCCTCCTATATGCATATATATCAGTGTGTTATTAGTCTTTTGGATGGTGCTATAATGAGAAAGAATGAGAATGAAAGAGCGCTGGACAAAACCCAGGGTAAAACGAATGATATCCTATGAACAGCAATGGTATATCTTTCTCTTTGGTGCGCCGCTGAAGCGCGCGATCCTCCTCCTTGAGCGTGTGCGAGTGCGCGTGACTAGTGCGCTTTGCGTCTCTTGCGAGCTGACGCGTTACCCAAGGTAGGGTTGGAATGTGTGAGGCTGGCGCGCTTGGGTGGGCTTGTGACTGGCAGAATGAATTCCTGCACAACGCACTGCAGGTTGAAGGCGCGCCAATGGGAGGCGCTGCAAGGGGTGTAGGGGCGCCCTACAAGCTGATCGGATGCGCGCGATGTGCGCGCCTTGGTGCGATTTCGCGCGAATTTGATTATATTGGCTGAACACGCAAGGAACGGCCATTTCTCTGCAAATGCATTAGCGAGAGACATGTATAGCGAAGAATTAGGCGCAAATGTTGCGCCAATGGGCTGTAAGGGTGATATATCAAGGCGCAGTAGGCGCATAGGTGAAGGAGAATAGTGCGCATCAAGGCACGCAGGAACGAAATTGACATGGTAAGCAAAAGCGCAAAGAATGCGAATAAATGTAGAAATTGCGAAGTTAAAGATGATGATAGGGGGTTTAGGCGCGTATGTATGTGTAAGGCGCGCGCCTAAGTCGCGCCTGGATGACTGATTGTAATATACCTTGTGTTGAATGTAGGAAATGCAATTTAAAAGGGGGGAAATGATAGAAATGCGATGGTGAGGAAACTCTGCTAAAATTATGAAGGTGCGAGGCGCGGGAATGCGCGTGCGTATTGCACGATGCGCATGATCATGGCGCGTGAACAAGGGGTGGTGTGAAGATGAATTTAAAGTGTATGGAAGCATCATATAGCTCCTTAAGAGCTTTAAACATGAAAAAGACAAAAAGTGCGAAATGAGATGAGGGTAAATATACAATGCCTCTAGGCGCGCGCATTGCACGTCCTCAGGTGCAATATGGTGCGCCTGAGTTGCGCCAGGGTCGCCTGAGACATGCTCTGCTTGGTGGTTGTGCAGCGTGATGCACGGATGTTTTACCGGTGCGCGACAGTCACTGGAAGCAAAAAGCGCGACATGCGCACAATCGTTAGTGACAATTGGAGTTACCAGAGGCAAACTCTGGTTGATGCAAGGTGCAACTTGAGCCTCTGATGCGGCAGGAGGCTCCTCTATAGGCGCGCTAAGGTGCAATAGATGTTTAGGGTCATCCCTGACCTCTGATGATGCGAGTGGCGATAGCAGTGATGGCGATGGTGCGATTGGCGAGGTTTCTTCCTTAAGCGATGCGATAGGCGGGCGTGTTTCAAGCGATGGCGTAATAACATCCACAATGGGCGCGTTACTGTGCAATAGATATTTAGAGTCATCCCTGACTTCTGGCGAGGTGATAGCGATAGGCGCGCATGTTTCAACTGGCGCGTTAGTGTGCAATAGATGATTATAGTCATCCCTGACTACTGATGCTGTGATTGGTGATGATGATGCGGATAATGATGGAGATTGTGAAGGAGATGGTGCTGATGATGAAGGTGAAGAGGCGCCTGCAGCGCGCTTTGCGAGCGCGGCCCTGAGTTCGTGATCTAAAGTGATGCAGTCTGGTATAGCCTTGCATGCTGGCGCAGTTGATAGCTGAGGTGCGCGTGAATCGCGCGAAGGCGCAGGAAAGGCGCGCGCGTGAGGCGCAAGAATAGGAACTGGTGGCCTTCTGTCAAGTACAACATTTGAGGGTGCGCGATAGAAGAGTCCAGCTGTTGCATTAGCGCTAATGGTCGTATCCTGCGTTGCGCGACTCTCGTAGTATTGATCTTTACACTTAGCCACTTTAGCTTGCGCTGGCGCAGTTGCTGTGACTAAGTTCACAATTGGCGCTACTATCACATAATTCAGTACTTTATTTCCGACTTAGATGGACAGCCAAAGGTTGAGAATCTCCCCAGTTAGACGGGCCATCCTAGGTCGGCCCATACGCAGATAGGGCGGGCGGGCCAGCCATGAAGGCAATCCTCAGTGGTAACGGGTGGGCCAACATCATGCAGTATTATTTGTAGGCTGGGGTAATGGTCAATAGACTGGTGGGCCAGCCATGGAAGGACCGGAGATAGGGCGGGCGGGCCAGCATGAAGTAGTGCTGCCGAAGTCCGGTTCGGTTCGGTTCTTGGGGCAAATTTTCCGAACGCTGAACCGAACCTATGGTTCGGTTCAGCCATTTGGTCGAACCCTGGACCGAACGTCACCGAACGCGTTCGGGAGGGTCCGGTTCGCGTTCGAACCAGGTTCGACTAAGCTTGGACCATCTGTGGTTGTATAGGCTCGAGACCATGAGTTGTCATGTAATTCGAGTCGGACAGACAACGAAAAGACTCTAATGCAAGGAGAACTTCTTTGTACAAAGATTGAATTCAAGTTTCTAAAATAAACACATTTTATTTGCCCGGTGCACATAGTTCCCTGATCACATTCTCATCGATCCTCTTCTCTAAACATATCTCAAACGCAGCAGCATGTACGGTTGCAGTATTCGAGATTGCAAGCGTGTCAATCTTCGCTGCAGGATTCTCTGAAAGGCGGAAAGCCCAGAGAATAATAGCCGTATTGATGAAGATGGACCGATTCGCGACATGTTGACCAGGACACACTCTAATATTTTCAAGTAAGGCATGAGAAAAGGTGGAAAGATGAACGATACCACTCACCGGCGGCCAAAACCAAAAGTGAAAAACTTGAGATCAGTGATCACCGCGCACACGACCTGCATCGTCGCGCGATGCGCAAAGCCTGTAGTGAAAGGTGGTCGTCCATTATCGCATCATCACAACTGAAATAAGACGTACCTCCAATAGTGACAGGTCTCCACCTGAGACCCTCGAGGATGAACACGGTAACTTGCGGCATAGCTTGAGCTCGAACGAAGACCGACAGACTCACGAACTGCGAACGGTGGGCAACGACTTGTATCAGCATGGCTGTTGCTCGAACGAGGATCGACACACTCACGACCTGCGAACGGTGGCCAACGTCTTGGATCAGCACGGCTCTTGTTCGAACGAGGAACGGTGGCCTGGTCCGCCAACGATTTGGATCAGAATGGTTCGAGCTCGAAAATCTTGACATACTCACTTCCTGCGAACAATAAGCAACGACTTTGATCAGCATGGCTCATAACATTCCCAAGTAGTACTTACCTATATTAATCATTAGCAAGAGTTCAAAGTGTTTGGAATTCATATAGCGACATAAGATACCTAGTGTTTGAACATGTTGTGACGGTGCAGTACTGTGTCACAGCGCGTCACGACTGCGGCAGGCGCGACAGAGGACCGCGTCAATTTCACCCGGCTCAAACCTGCGCGGGTTGCAGACACATGCATTTGCATATATTGACACATAGTAAATACTTACATCTTTTTAAAAAAGTGTAAAGCCTACAAAAATTGAGAGGTTCGAACCCGTTCGAACCTATTCACTACCAGCCCGAACCCCGAACCTCTGGAAAGGTTCGGTTCTGAGTCTTGGCCGAACCTTGGACCGGACCATGCGTCCGGTTCGGAAAGGTTCAGGTTCGAACCGAGGTTCGGAACCGGACTGCGGCAGCACTAGCATGAAGGCAATCCTCGGTAGTGACGGGTGGGCCAACATCATACAGTATAATTATGAATTATTTGTAGGCCGGGGTAATAGTCAATAGACCAGTGGGCCAGCCATGGAAGGACCGGAGATAGGGCGGGCGGGCCAGCCATGAAGGCAATCCTCGGTAGTGACGGGCGGGCCAACATCATACAGTATAATGATGAATTATTTGTAGGCCGGGGTAATAGTCAATAGACCAGTGGGCCAGCCATGGAAGGACTGGAGATAGGGCGGGCGGGCCAGCCATGAAGGCAATCCTCGGTAGTGACGGGTGGGCCAACATCATACAGTATAATGATGAATTATTTGTAGGCCGGGGTAATAGTCAATAGACCAGTGGGCCAGCCATGGAAGGACCGGGAGGGATACAGAAGAAGCATGCATTAATATATTGGGCCAGGATGTGTGCTGCTGGGGTACCGGCTGGGCCCAAAAGTATTTTTGGACAGGGAATGACAGCCCCTTATACCCGGTACAGGCGGATGGGCCCAGATATGGACCCAACCATTCCAAGGTCCTCATCAATGATGGTTGGGCCGACGTACCCGAGACCAGCGGATGGGCAGGCAGTTGTACCCGGTATTGGCGGATGGGCCCAGATGTGAACATGACCATACCCAAGGGTCCTCACAAACTTTGATTCCGAGACTGGCTGACAGGCACGTCCTCCATTAATTATGGGTAGGCTGGCACCTGAGCCCGGCGGACGGCACCAGACCAATGCTGTGAATACCGGATTCGCATAGGTATGGTGTCCCAGACATATTGCACATCTGAACAGTTGCATTCCCTTGTGTGTGCAATCATGTCGGTCGCACATCCGGTCCTTGATGGCGGATCTTCCGGATACATACATCAATGCCAGTTTGGATGCTCCGGCCGACACAACATCGCTTTGTATTGACTTGCATGCGCAGTCGGTTGGTTGAGCTACCGAATTTATACCCCAACAGAGATCCGGTATCATTCGGACACGACTCAGATCAACTTATCCGATATGGTAAATAAGATGTGATCGAATCGGTCCGCCGAACGGGAGTGGCGGGAGTGGCTGGAGTGTCTGCGCCCCGAGCAGCCGGTGCAGATTACTGATCCCAACTTCCACACCGACACTGGTGGTTGGGCTGAGGTGTGAGGTCCATAGAGATGAGCGGGCCCAAAATGTGTGACTGGGTGGGCCTGCATGCTCGAGGGTGAGAATGGGCCAGGCGGATTTGCGAAAATTGTGACGGATGGGCCCAGCTAGCATGTATGCATATATGGGTGGGCCCGGCTTGTAGGCATGCTCGGGAAAAGGGCAACGGATGGGCCCAAAATGTGCGAGGATAGGCCCAGCGGATTGCATGTAATCTTGAAAATCATGACGGATGGGCCCACCGTGGATTTGATCTCAGAAAAGGCAAATTGGCCCAGTGCATATGCAGATGTGGTCTCGGAAACAGTGACGGATGGGCCCAGTCCGCTGTGTTTGGACTTGGAAAAGGCAACGGACGGGCCCAGTCCCCCATGGGTATAATAATGTCGGGTGGAGTCTCGGGGAAGGCTATGGATGGGCCCAGAACATGCTGATTTGTTCGCGAAAATGGTGGCAGATGGGCTGAATGTGCTTGGAAGGGACTCAGGAATAGACCCTTCCACCCATGATTGTGGAATCGGAAAGGGTGACGGATGGGCCCGCTCGTCTTATATTGCCGAGAATGGTGGAGCCCGTAGATTTGGTCTCGGCGAAGGCGACGGGTGGACTCAACTTGTGTGTATTCCCGAGAATGGTGACGGATGTGTGCAGCATATATGTTGCATGCTGGCAAGGGGCTACGGATGGACCATCCGACATATTCCATGGGAGTGCTCGCTGGGGAAATGTCTGACAGCGGCCGGGTTCTATATGAACCCGTTGGTTGTGGGCATTCCGACAACTGTGGAGAGTCATATGCGTGAACCGAGTGTAGGACTATTGTAGAGAACCACCACGGCTACCATAGGCTAAACCCTTTGGATCTACATCGGCAAAGGCCCTATCTACCATTGCTTCCGGAAGATCCTGCACGGTTGTAAGGTACTGTCCACTCTGAAATCATTTTATCGCTGCCTCCGCTGAGAATGAGGTCATGTATTCCATCTATGTACGGTAGAATCCTCACCGAGACTTGTGAGAACGCTTGTGTCATCGGCAATAATCGAATTGGCTAGCTACAACACAACAGATACTAATCTATGTCGCCATTCTCCCGAAGTCATTGTATGATAGCTTGATGATCAAAAAAACAGACTGGTAGTTACCAAATTGGTGATGCAACAAATTATAAATGAATCAAATGACCATCAGCGACCCTTCACTAAATATACGGCGGCGCTTTGCAGCTGGCTCCCGAACATCTTGCTCAGGATGAAATAGATAATTCAGCATATCCAAGTCATGCTCCGCCACAATCTTCTGCCCATCCCACGCACTGTCAGGCTGTCGAATATCCTTCCGATTGACATACATAGGATAATGTGTCTGCTGGATTGGTCCAGCCCAATCGAAATCGAGCAGCATGAAGTGTTTGTCGTCCCGCACAACAAAATTGGTATCTCGAAGGTCGCCATGAACGTAGCCGTCATTGTGATTGTGTAACTCCCGGATGAGAGAGGTGATGGTCTCCTTCAGCGGCTGACGGTCCAAAACACTTATCTCACTGAGCAGTCGATATGAGCCAGGTCGTTGCGGAAAGCAATCATTATCAATATCAAGGGCATCCATAACCACCAGATTCCAGCCGCCGGGTAAAGAATTGTAGGCGATAAGTTTGGGGGCGTTCCCCTTGCTGGCACAGAATTCGTGAGCCTGAGGGGAATAGTGCCTGACAAACTTCATGCATATCTTGCTCCCAGCCGCATCGCCGACGGTTTCCCTGAAGAAAATAAGTCGATCCCTGAGGATTTGAGTCTCATCATACGAGAATTCCTGAATGAAACCGGTGGAATTGGTATAACTCCGAGGGTAGGGACATTTAAGATATGGATCTTCGGGTTCGAGGGTCGGGATTGGATGGGAGTATAGTTTGGTGAGTTTCTCGACAGCAATTTTGAGAGCCCCGAAAGTACGAGCTGCCATCACTTGCATGCGGAGGTCTGTTGAATGCCAAAACAGAGGAATGATAGGGACCAGGACATCGGACTGGACTTTTTCAGTGAAAACAGAGCCTGAAAAGCCAATGCATGCCCCTATTTGTGATCAATAAAAAGCTTCAGCAATTAATCTGGTGAAATGAACTAACCGAAGACAATAGCGGTCCTCAAAGTTAAAATCGTAGAAATTTCAAGAGGTAAGAAATTTGCGACTTGCCGATAATTAGAACTCCGACGATGACAAATCAAGCTCATATCTTACCACCGCCCATCATCATCGTACCTTACCGTGACCATCATATTGATAACGTTCTGCAACGACATCGGAAGATGCCTCGAGAATCGGATCGCAAAAAACTACTTCGTAGTCTGAAGCAAACGACAAATGACCTTACGATTGCGCGATACATGGAGTTGATTGAATTTATGGTGGATCAGCTCCTCGAGGAGGGCTCTGACAATAGCTCTGATAAGGGATCGGATGGTGATAGTGGGTCAGATGTCAGCATACGGACCGCATCGCCAACATGGCCGGAGTCCCCGACGTCATCCGTCATATCCACGTTGTCCATCAGCTCTCTAGTAACCTCGCTTTCAACAGCATATTCTGATGTCCTATCACTCGATATCCCAGACATGTGCGATCAAGTGTTTACGCACTTTATTGATGCGATCGGGGCACTGCATGATGAAGTGGAGAAGTGTCGGGTACTTGACGTGCGTCCATCTCTGACTCGCGCACCGCAGTTACACCTGCTGCAAGAATGGGCGCTGCTCTCACCTGAAAAGTTTCGCCGCAAGCTTCGCGTTGATGCAGAGGTATTCAACAAACTCACAACGTTAATCCAAGCCCACCCCATTTTCCATAATAACTCAAATAATCCACAACTTCCTGTCGCCGTCCAGCTCGCGATCTTTCTCAATGGTGTCGGCCATTATGGCAATGCTGCGACTACTGAAGACATATCCGATTGGGCTGGAGTGTCCGTAGGGACCATCTACAACTGCTACAAGCGAGTCATGATCGCGATCTTGCAACTGCATGATCGCGCCATACATTTTGATCCGCTCGATCGTGAGGACCAGATTGAGCGAGAGCGGGCAAAAGCGTACGTGGAGCAGAAGACATGTCGTGAGTGGCGCGGCGGTTTCCTTTGTGTAGATGGGACTCCGTCCCCTCTACACGAGAAGCCCGGTTGGCCGGCATCCCGAGTCGTTTTTTGGTGCGGGAGAGTGGTTGTGGGCGGACTTGGCGTATGCTGCGCGAATTTGGTGTGTGCCGCCGTACAAACGGCCAGCGGGAGGGTCTTTGACGGCCGAGCAAAGGACATTCAATTATAACCTGTCAACAGTGAGCATCAGTACTAATATACTTTTGTCGTCCTCACCCAGTGTCTAGGTCCGCGTTCGTTCAGAGCACTTCTTCGGCTCTATCAAGGGCCGGTTCCAATCACTGCGGGAGCTTCGCATCCCAATCCAAAGCCAGAAGGACCTCGACTACGCGAACATGTGGATCCGTTCGTGCTTCATTCTGCACAACTTAATTGTTGAAATTGAGGAAACAGAAAACCGCGAAGACTCGAACATATGCTTCTATCAGCAAACTCGGAGATTGAGGCGAGCTGACGGTGACGGAGGAGAGGATGATCAGCAACAGGGTGGCGCAGTAGGTGATCAGACTTACATTGGAACTGTGGGGCAGGATTTTCGTAACACGTTAAAGACGCGGTTGCTTTCGTCGTTGGAGCGAAGGTAGTTAGTATTATATTAAATGTACTTGTACCTATACATATTCCTTTTGGCTCGCAAGGTCACACTTGAGATTTTCTCGAGAAAGGAGCGTTTTAGCGAGCTCTAGGAGGGGTCAGTAGTGCTTGAGATTTTCTCAAGAAAGGAGCGTTTTGGCGAGCTCTAGGAGGGGTCAGTAGTGCTTGAGATTTTCTCAAGAAAGGAGCGTTTTGGCGAGCTCTAGGAGGGGTCAGTTGTGCTTGAGATTTGCTCGAGAAAGGAGCGTTTTAGTGAGCTCTCTGAGTTGGCACCATCGAGTACAACATGGAATGCATTTCCTGAAAACCTGTTACGTGACAACATAGTGCAAACCTACTTAGTTTTGATCAAGACCGCGCTCCAAAGCAATACGACGAATTCGAGCCTCCTCCTCCTCCCGACGTGCACGAGATAGCTCAATCTCAATTCTTGCAAATTCCATCTGTTGAGTCATCCTCTCCTGCTGGTGCTGATGATCTTGGTCAGATAGACGCATCGCATGCTCCCGCTCATCACGAGCACTGCGGGCCTTGAGATCACGAGCCCAAATTTCGGTCTCAAGTTTCATGCATTTATAGTGTTCGTGCTCCACACGATCCTCACGTTTGCTGTTAAGGTGCGTCATTATGGAATCTGCCGTCTGAGACATCCTATCTGCAGCGGCAGAGGTCTGATCGAGAGTGCTGCCACCAGGGCGTTTGCGTGATGAAGAGGGGGGGCGACTAGATTGAGGTGAAGCACTCTGAGTAGGTGCACGTGCACGAGACTGCTTTGTAGAAAGAGAGGGTGAACTTGCGCGACTTCCTTTGAGTGAGCTGACGCGAAGAGACTGCAGCGCTCGGCTAGCACCAATGTCCGAATCTTCCGAGTCAATGGGTGTGGATTGAGGGCTAGCTGATGACTCCTTGAAATCAGAAAAGAAAGGTGAATTGTGGGTGGTGCTTTGATTGGGTACTGGTGAGCGCTCAGGAGAGTTCAGCGATATCACGCCGTGTGTGTTGGAAGTTGTGATGGGAGGAGGTTGGGGTCGTTGGTACCAGTGTGGTAATGGAGCGAGTGAGAATGAGTTGGGCGTGTCGCTAGGACCATGGTCCAAAAATAACAGCGGGGATGGTGCTGACAATGGTGATTCGAATGACTCCATGGAGGGGGGCTGGTCAACCATCATATCATCTGGTGCATCTATAATGCCAGCATCACCTGTAGTATGAGCGCTGATCTCAACTATTTCTCCGTCCTCGGCATCCTCATCTGTGTGAGTGTCATCGTCGCCTGCGGCCGGTGCTTGTGGTTGCTTTGAGATAGCGAAATGTTCTAATGCAGCGGACGCAAAATCTTGCCCTGTATCCGCTGTAGAGAAGGCGTAATTGAAAGCTGGGTTTGTGCGCCACCAGCCATGAAGCTCAGGCCACCAGGGAAATTTTTCGAGCTTTGTATCTAACAGAGATACGATTAAGACATGTGCAGTTCAACAGCGGCTAAAACTTACCAATCAACGACTTCATCGTTGGATCCTCTTGCAGCTCTGCATATGTCTTTCCGGCTCCTGACTGCTTGAGCTCCTTGTTGAACTCGTTATATTTTTTCTTGAGCCTAAAACATCTGATCAGTGATTCTAGTGGGAGGAGAAACAATGCAGGAACGGGATACATACGTGCCGAAACGAGTTGAAACTGGTTTGATAAATGCCTTTGGGTCCTCCTTGAAAAGTCGTTGACCTCCGGATCCTCGTCATTCGAAAATACGGCTTGTGCGACCTGTGAATAAAAGGTATCTCTCGAAGTTCCGCTCTGTTTCTTCTTCCGACCTTGCTCCTTCGCATCCTTTGCAGAATCGGAGAACAGCTTGATCCGTGCATCTTCGTTTTCCTTGCACCAGGCAAGGAGACGTTCTGTACGAGCGCTACGAACCCCCTCCCAATGAATAGTGCATTTCTTCCCAGTGTCCGTACTGGCGGACACACCGGCTCGAACTCCACCACCTCGACCTCTCTGTCCAGAGCGTGACATGATTCAGGGCGTTTATTACGACAACGATTGGTGATCGGATTGAATCTTTGGCACCATCGACGCCAGTAATGACGATGTCGAGTGACAGGGCAGGGCGGAGTTTGAACATGCCGTACCGGCAACGCAAAATCTTGCTGTGAATTTTTTTCTACGTTCGACTTTGAGAACCGTTAATAATATGGATGCATGGAATGAAAGACCAGAGCCTCGCCATCTCAATCTTCAAGTCTTCCATAAACTTGCGGTAGTACAACATCGCCTCCATGAATGGTTCGGCAGTGCCACTTCCGATCTCGTTCTTCCCCTCAATTATCATCAGCACAAACTGTCCGTTGGTAGACAAAATATGTCCGTCCGTCGTACATCCGGTCGAGCCAACCATAGAAGCATTGAGTATAATACCATAGTCACGGAGCACTTGCCGGAATGTATTCATCCGCGCAAGCTCATTGGGATAGAAGGAGGCCATCTTTTCTGAAAGTTGCAAAACAAAGTCGTTATCGTGGACAGTTGGTTCATACTTTTGACAATCATCCACGAACTCGGCGAAGATAGGCTCGAGAAGAGTAATGGGAACAGGGTCCGCGGCTCTGCTAGGACGGTTGCAAAGGTACTCTGGCTGGTCCTGCTTGGTTGAGAATGCAGATGGTTTTGCACCGGCCGACGGACTACCCGCGCCCTTCTTGAGATAAGCGATTCGCCGATCAACAGCTGGAATTTGTCGTGCAACGGCAGGATGTTTTACGACGATATGAATGCATCCGCGCTCTATTCCATCCGCAAACACATCAGACAGCTCGGTTAACGGGTGCAGCTCGACGCCGCCGTCTATGATCGCGTTCCGTAAGTCTATATCATTCAAATTGATCTTGACCTTCCAAAATATCAGATTATTAACATTCAACCTTAGGCATCATATCACTCACCTTCCATAGCTCAAGACGGTCGGCGGCAACATGGTCAAACTCTGGCTTCTTGGCGACCTTGATAACATTTTTGAGGTCACCGACAGTCTTCGTCCGCTCAATGTCGACTGGGAAAATATGGCGAGAATCATCGCCGAAGACAATGCAGTTAAGTTTCAGGTGGAGCGGTCCGGAAGACACTAAGTCGGACCACGATCATTGAGGAAAGGGTGGCAATATCGAAGGACAACTCACCGGCAGGCGGGCATTGGATAATAATATGCAGATACTTGCGCGGAGGAGCATCGGGGAAAATCTCTACCATTTCATCCACAGGTGATAGGGATTTCGTTGGGTCCAGTGTAAGATTGTTGAGATTGTGCTCAATCATCTCGTCGACGGGCAGGTCGACCTTCCAAAATATCAGATTATCAACATCCGATCCTAGGCATCAGATCACTCACCTTCCATAGCTCAAGACGGTCAGTGGCAATATGGTCAAACTCTGGCCTTTTCTTGTCTTTGATGACCTCTTTGAGGTCACCAACAATCTCCGTCCGCTCAATGTCGACCGGGAAAATACGGCGAGGATTATCGCCCAAGACAATACAGTTGAGTTTCAGGCGGAGCGGTCCAGACATCTGACGTTGACAACAAGAGTGATAGCGTCTCGAGCGGTAACTGCAGTGAGCGCTCACTGCTGCAGCAACAATGCACTTACAAAGCCAAGCAGCAACACCCCGTGACCGGGTATTTGATTTTCTGTGAGAATACACCTTGCCTGGGAATTTTTGTCCCTTTCCGGGTATCCGATGCACCATTTATGGGTGAGAAGTGGATTAAGGCCTGTTGCGGTGCATCTGTTGTCGCAATCGAAGGTAGTTTATCTTGCAGGCACCGCAACAAGCCTTAATCCACTTCTCACCCATAGATGGTGCATCGGATACCCGGAAAGGGGTTAAATGGTGTATGACGAGATGTTCTAGGCACAGTAAGCCTTAATCCGCTTCTCACCCATGAATGGTGCATCGGATACCCGGAAAGGGGTAAAACGGTCCATGACGAAATTTCCATAGGCGCAGTAGGCCTTAATCCGCTTCTCACCCATAAACGGTGCGTCGGATACCCGGAAAGCCGTACAGGATCTTCCAGAAGCAATGGTGGATCGACCATTCGTGACGTAGATCCACTGGGTTTAGCCTATGGTAGCCGTGGTTGTGCTCTACAACAGCCTTACAACCGGTCCACATATCTGACTCTCCACAGTGGTCGGAATGCCCGCAACCGATGGGTTCGGACCACGTTATGTCATCGGCTTCCCATCCGGTAAATCCCTCGACAATCCGATTGGTGCGAGGGCGACGGAACCGGAGCTTGTATCACCAGCACCAGACCCAACGGCTGCGCGTGCGCAAACTCTGCCCCACCTCCCCTTCAAACGTAATATCTTTGGGGCGGGCGCCAATAAGAAACCCGGAAATGCAGCGCCGCAGGTCGGCAAGTATCGCAGATGGACCCAAGTCGGAAGAGGAGGAAGAAGTTCCAATCAACTGACGAGGACAAAGTTCACACCGGAACTATCTTGGTAAACGTATGTTCGATGATGTTTGCATATGAATCCTGAACTCAATCGTGCTCCCACCGTCCAAGTCAGCGTCAGACAGAATTTAAATCCGGCGGGAATAGACTCTGCAGCCCATGACAGGAATTTTCGGAAGGAAGAGACAAGGGTGCGTTATCGGCTCTCTGAACGATATGGTCAAGCGAATTTCCACCGGGATGAACGTGCCAGCATTGAACTGATTGCTTACCAAGTATGTATTGGCGAAGCGTGTCAGAACGTATCACAAATCGGGACAGCTGCATTTCCAAGGCAGTGCACCGAAAGTTGACAAGATAGTACGTCGCACCGGATCCTCATGAGCGACACATCCGAAACTATGGACATGCATTCTGTCAGCTTCCGAAGAGTTTGATAATTATCCCCGTCCGGACATCGATGTACATGTTGGTACTCTGGCCGGTAGAACATCCTCTTATAGTGAACCGGCAAATGCAATCGGAGGATCATCTACCGAATGCGTCATGAAAGTCAAATAAACGTCATATCTAAGTGAAAATTTGACTAAGGAAAACAAAGACAACCCTATAAAATTACATGAAGTATTATTATGTCCATCTGCATATGACGATCTATTTCTCGGATATGACCGATGGTGCATTAAGAATCGAGAAGATGCAACGAAAAATGTCATATGAGCCACATTGTCAGTCTCTTTGAAGGCGACATCAACCGAAAATGAACTACAACGCGCGGTACCGAATGAAATCTGCCTGATTGTATTGGGCTAGGTGGTATATCGCAAAATCCGCGAGATTATATTTTGCGTACTCTGTACGCGGGGTCCGAGCATAATTATGCACGCTATCGCGCATAAACCAAGCCCAGACGATTCTGTCTCCCTCGGCAACTTGAACGCCGTGCCTCACGAGCCGGCCAGAATAGCTAACCATAACACCCGGATCATAAGCGAGCTCGATGCCCAAGTTGGTCAATTGCATTACGCCATGGCCATAGCCGCCTATGCAGGTAAGGATATCAAAACCTTCCGGGGGGCATTTCGGATCTCGATGGCTTGGCGACTTCCTGTTACACATGATTGCCGCTCCCGTGTAGACGGATGTCCAATGTTGAAGGAACTTGCACATATCATCCAATCCTTGCTTGTCTGCCCAATGCCCAAGCTCTATATGAGTGGATATAGATGCACGGTATAACTGCGGGTGCATTACACGAAGGGCGGCTGAAGATATGAGACCCGGACGTTGCATGTCTTGGATGACCGACAGGCTCCTGTCCCCCTTCAAGGTAGCGGAGACTTCGGGCATAAAGCCATCTTCCGGGTTCACAGGCGGGGGCCCATGACACTATTTGATATTAAACATTTCCTGAGTACAGAAAATTCAAACAGACCTCGTGTCCCTGTTGAAACCAGCAAGGCGATATATTGATGCACCCGGGCTTTAACTGGGGCTCTTGGGAGGCATAAAAATTGGTTGAATGGGTTCGCCATTTACTCGCCTGTCCCGTGGACATCTTCCCACTGGTGATGCTCTGTTTCAATAGATTGCCCATCCCGATTGTGGCGGTGTACATATCACGCTGTCTTCTTAGATAGATGATCTATAGATAAACACCTATAAAAACAAATATCTCCACGGTCAGCGATTCAGACAAATACCAATGGCTGATAACGTGGTCGTTCGTGGGTGGCTGTTTACACTTCCCAAGCTATGTCAGACCACAGTACTTCTGTAAGGTCAGCAACAATGCAGTCAATCCAACAAAAATGAAACTGAAATGAAATCACTCCAACGGTATGGCAGTGATTGAAAGACGAAAGAAAACTAGTCAACCCAACGGTATGGTGATGACAAAAAAGAAACGAAGAAAAAAAAAAGACACCTCTTCAAACCTTCCTTCAACAACAATGCCTTGTAACAATCGTATCTCGAAAGAGTTGTGTGGAATTACAGCAATCAACCCCCTCAGCACAAACAGGTAGAATCAAAGGTCAAGACTAATCAATGCTCAGTAGAACTCTTAGCTCACTGTTGAACCTGCTGCCAAGGAACTCACGATGAGTATTAAACAGAATCAGGAATGGACGTCCTTGGTTTCAGTACCAAGTCCCCTATTCAACAACTAAAGTCTAGCAGACAAGGAAGATCCTGGCTCAGTATCACTACTCAGATGAGTGAGGTCAAGTGTTACTGTCAATCCCTAAAGTCTCCCCACTAAACTATTCGGAGTCTAGATGGATGAAAGAGACAACACAAAAGCTTCTGAAAATATGAATGAAAGCTTAGCACTGAAACTTGAAAGAGAAGAAAGAGAGAGGATCACAGAGAGAGAGAAGAGAGAGAAAGAGCGAAAGAACGAAAAAAAAAGAAAGAGAAAAACAAAAGAGTGACAGAAAAGAAAGACAAAGAAAGAAAGAAAGAAAGAAAGAAAGAAAGAAAGAAAGAAAGAAAGAAAGAAAGAAAGAAAGAAAGAAAGAAAGAAAGAAAGAAAGAAAGAAAGAACGAAAGAAAGAACGAAAGAAAAGAAAGAGAAAAAGAGACAGAAGAAAACTAGAAAATCAAAGAAGAAAAATCAAAAAAAAAGTTCTGTCGGTCGTTGAGCACAGTGAGCTCAAGGTCTTGGTCGTCGTTGGTGGTGATGAGCTAAGGGTGTTGCTGAATGCTGATGCTGATGAGCTTAGGGGCTTGCTGGTTACTGAAAGTTGCTGGCTGACTACTGGTTACAATGACTTTGCTGAAGGTACTTGACAGCCCTGGTCACTGTTGTTGACAATGATCACACTTCACACACAATTTTATTCTGAAAGTGGGGCTTAAAAGCTCTCTTCTTTGGGCAAAAATTTGGGTCTTATATACAAAAAAAAAAGGGTGGCTGTGCTACGTTTTCCCGCCATCTATGAGGGGTGAGCTTAGTCAGTGGTACCAAAAATCATTTTGCAGGGGCTGCTTATGTTGCACCAAATGAGACCATAATTAGTCAGCATTAGTCAGCATGCTTGGGCTGAGTGTTCTGTCATCACTTGATTTGGATCAAAAGTCACCTGACTTAAGATCATGTGATTTAGCATCATGTGACTGAAGGGTCATGTGACAGGCTGATTGTGCACTGCAAGAGAAATATTCATGATCATTGGTGTTCCGTTCTGATGTCACTTTGTTGAATGAGAAAATGACGCGAGGCAAGTATTTAGGGTTTTGAGGAAGTTTTCCCAGGGTAACCCATGCGAGAACTATTTTTCACAGTCACCTGACATGTGTGGGATTCAGCCTGAGTCATTGTTGAGGATGACTAAGCAAAATTCATCGCAGAATTAAATATACAAAAATATTCAGCCTGTCCGAGTTCCATTGAAAAGATGAAATGAAATATTTGTCTGAGCTGCATTCTGGCTTTAGAATAGAGGGAAATGGTTTCGTAGTGATTTCTAGGGTATTAGGCTCATGGGAGAGCATTAGTCATCCATGCACCGAACCAGTTTGGTGCAGGTCAACGCTACCTCCTCCCCGTTAGCATGATGCAGCTTCAATGCAATCCCGCACTGACCTTCACCGACCAGTTAAGCGCACCCGGAAGGTACCAGAGTATTATCCGATAGCCGGCATCGATCACCACCGACGGGTGTTCCAACACCAGGCGCTCAGCGGGGGGGAACTTCGCCAATAATGATTCTTCATGAGAATCATTCAGTCCCGACTCCCGTTTGGCCAACGCCTCGTTGTACCGGATGACGTCGATATCCAGTTTTACTACAAACATGTACGGTTTAGCCTACCGGGGTGTTGATATGCCTCTGCCAGCACGGAGGCCAACTGTCCGCAAGCAACCGTAGTTTCCGGGTCAAGTTCGGGCGGCGCGGGCACCAACGGTCTGCCTGCTATATGAGCTGCAAACTGCTGCTCGACCCATTCGCTTGCTATGTCGGCGACATTAAGGGCCCAATCCCGGGGGATGAACGATGTCGGATGACAGGCGAGGTCAAGGGCACCAAGCTGTTCATGGTAGGATTCCCAGTACTCATGCGATATCATTATTGAATGGGAGATACGCAGGTCTTGTTCAAGAAAATGTGCATCTTAAATACAATTGGCCATGCGGCACTCATCCTGATGATGTAACACAGCGAGCCGAGATCCAACTTTATGAACGTAATTGATCAAACCCACGCATGTCTCATATAACCGGATGGGATTATACTTGGCAGGATATTGACATATGGAAGAGAGACACTACATGAAAATATGCTAATGAAGAAGCTGTTCCTCGACTACTGTACATTATTTCAATGCGGAAGTAATTAAAGACCGGGAAAGGGTTCAACGGATGAAGGTCCTCCCAGCCTGCCATTGTCGTAATGCCCTTGCAACATTGCAACTGCCGCGTGGGAGGCTACCATTGCCTCGCGAAGTTCATCTACAGGATCCTCTAGACGATCTAATGCAGCCACAGCCTCCCTTGTAGCATCCAGCTTAGTAACAAGGAGTCGGCCGAGTTCCATACCAAGATATGAAACTTCGGCCCGGAGAACCTGCAGCTGTTGCAGGAGCGGATCATCGCTGCGGGCGTGCGTAATTGGTGTCGGCACCATGCTGGCCATTTTAGGCTAATGCATGCATGTAGTAAGAAATACTGATCGCATCATAATCTGGAAAAAAAATCACTCACCCGCTGAGCAAAGTGGTCGGTCACCAGCTCCTTCACCGAAGCAACAGACATCCGAAGAGGCATATCGAACGGCGCAAGGTCGAACCTGTGCTTCCACCAAGCGTGGCGATAGTCACGGACCACCCGATTGATGTCGACTGGATGGGTTGGCGACTCATGCGGGCATGCCTTGAATGCGGCAAACAGTTTCCCGTGATCGTAGTACGGCTCGGTCTGGAAAGATGTGATGAGCAAGATAACCTCATTCAGATATGCCGGCAGTGTCGTGTTGATATTCATGGCAGCGCAGATGTTGACAAAGGGAAATACAAAGCGCTGCCGGTGCCTATCAGTAAATCTCTTCAGGGACGATTGCATAAACTCACCTCCGCTTCCCAGATGATGTGTCTCACGAATGTGTGCTGATACGAGCTGGAGTGTTGGGTTTTACTTTTCATTAATTCGATGTGAATGACTGTAAATCGGGAAGTGGCGTATTCGAATATTTCCGCTGCATCCCAGATGGAAAATTTACTGGCAGCAGACTTATGGAGCATTTGGTAATGATCAGTCATGACTGGTTGCAGTGGGGTGATAGATGAAGTCAGCTCGGACACTGTTTAATTATACGGTTGGAGCTTCAAAAGCATTGTTGTGGTGATTTACAATGACAGGCTCAATCCGGTAATGTGGCCACAAGTAATCGTAAGCTGTGACCCAATTCTCGATGCCACATATCCCAAACAATGTCATTGGCTAAATTGTGGAATTTGTGGATCACAAATGTGGTAAATGGACCATATTGCGTTGTTTTTATTTTGAATTTTATGAGTCAATGAACAGCGTCATATGCTCGGATATGAAAAAATTTGACCGGAGAGTGGACTTCGCCTCACAAAGCTTGGCTAGGCATGTGAGGCATGTTCTTGGTGAATGCGTCCGTGTCGAAGTGTGTGACTGGTAAACGCGCTTCCGCCCGCATGATGCCTTTTTGCTTGGCCAATTGATCGTATAAACTGCATGCTCAGACAATTGACTTGGAATGCAAACCAGATTATTACGTCGGGATACCGGAACCACGGTAGCGTCACATTTTGCCTCCCACAGGAGTTCTGATCGACCACAGAGGCGGTTGCCATGAGATTGCTGTGCCCATCCGGAGATGAGTGCATCATGAGCCTCTGGATTTCCCGGATGTGTCCGACACTTCCAAGACAATATATTCTGTGATGTGACACAATAGTCGCTTGTGACTGGGCCCAAAAGCCACCATTAAGAGCAATGCAGATAAATTTGAGCTCGGAATTGAGGACGGAAAGCACACAGTTAGAATTGTGTTTCCGGTAAGCAAGCAAGCATTTTATTTGGTCAACAGGATGGATTGAGAATGTGAATGCCGGAGCACAAGTTTGT